TATGAAAAAAATACGAGTAATAAAAACCGTGTCTGCACGAAAAAACCCATTGAGGTTGATATGCCGTAAAACAAACTAAACCAAAACCAAAAAAAAAAAAAAATCGTTGAAGAAAACGGATCGTTATTGTTTGTTTCTGTTGAATTCGCGCGTCGGTTCCAAATACAACTAGAATTATTGATGCCCTCATCTGCCACAATTATTACATTTTCATTTCAAGATCTTTCTATTTTAGATAGTTTTTGGAAGATCATTAAAGATACATTGCAATCTGCAGGGACTGCCATGTCAATGAGTAGGCACATTCATTTTCTTTGTTCTGTCTGTGTATATTGTAAAGTCCCATAAAATTGTTACAGATCTTATCTCTATAACCATTCTGGGTGATGTTCATATCAGTTTCTTTCAAATTCCCTTCTCGTAAAGTTGTATATTTTCCTGTGCAAATATTGGCCCGCTCTATCATATCGATTTTATATTCAGTTGGTACTAACCCCATGCAACCTGTTCCAAAAAATTCAGTTGTTTCTTGATATTTATCACAGAATCGGCATTCCGGGTTAACACAGTTTTTCAGTATGTGTTCTTAGTAATTTCTAATTAGTAAGCATTGGTCTTGTGTAGCAAGAATAAAAGCTTCCGTTTCAGCTTTTAACCCTGCACTACGTAAAGTCTGATGGGAACTGGGTTTTTCTACCTTGTCTGGTACCAGCAGAATATTGGCCACGAAGAGGATTATCTTGCTATCGTTTCTGCATTTGGTACATTGCATTTGGTTTTATTTTCGTTTTTACGTTCCGCTGCAGTCAGTGTATTATGGTTTACTTGCACTTATTCACCCAATTGAAATTCCATTTTCAATTTGTTGGCTTCCTTTATTACTGAATAAACTTGCTTATTTCTTTCATGTTCTTTGATAAAGAACATCGTACAATCTTCTGTAGTTTCCTGGTATCTTTGAAAAGAGATTTTTCACCTAAATGAAATTCCATTTTTAATTTGTTGGCTTCCTTTATTACTGAATAAACTTGCTTATTTATTTCATGTTCTTTGATAAAGAACATCGTACAATCTTCTGTAGTTTCCTGGTATCTTTGAAAAGAGATTTTTCTTGTTTTGTAAACAGTTCTAGCTGAACTAATCCTCTGCCTCCTACGGATCTGGACACATACAGATGACCAACATCAGCCTTGTGATGACGCGTTCGGTGGTAGGTGAATACCTTTTTCGTTTGATGTAATATGTCATTTTGAACATGATGTCTTTTTTTTACTTTTATTATTATTATTATTATTATTATTTTATTTCCTTTGATTTCTGCTTTGTACACATTTCCTTTCCGGTCTCGCCCAGTGACCTAAGGTTAGAAATGGCATCATGACGTTTTCCACTGACCACCTAAAAAAAATTTAAAAAAAGAAAAACACACAGATTTTACATAGATAAATTTTTTCGTAAGGTGTGGGCTGTACAGGTGAGAATTTTTATTTTTTTAATATTCTTCTTCTTCTTCTTCTTCTTCTTCTTCTTATTATTATTATTATTATTATTATTATTATTATTATTCGCTGCTTTCATTTGCTCATCTTCCCCCAATATGTTATATAAGCGTCAAATTCTACAAGCCCTCTTTATTATTGTGTAGAATCATCATCGTGATGTATCATGTCTCTACTTGATAAGGAAATTGTCTAGCATTCTCCGCCATATAATGAGACCGATATTACAATTTCAGCGCTCTTTTCTTTGTTTCTAATGAAATTTTCCTGTATCTTATTACTTTGCTTAGCTTTTGAAAGGTATATTCTGCTGTCACAGAGTGGTACTCATTTCGGTCCCGCATTTTCTGCCCTATCATAGATATTTAAAGTGCTTGCATTTGCTTGATTTTCGGTGTTCTCGAAACTCATTTCAACTTACAAGCTGTGACACGGCATCATAACTTCACTCCTGTCAGGCTGCTGTTCTCAGAAATGAATGACGTATCATTCACGTTTTCATTAATAATTTTATTTTAAATTAAGTAGAAGTTTCATTTCGCATTTTCAACAAAAGCAAAATAGGAAATTTGTTTTAATTGAAAAGTGAAATACAATTGTTTCGCATGCATTCCATACCTGCAGCAGCGTTCCGGAAAATATTTTTTCAAATCGTGAATACACAGAAGTTAAGCATTACCAAAGATGGCGAAACGAAGTAATCTAATGTGAGCTTATTAAGATAATATGATAATTGAAAACCTAGTTTTTCTTTACCTTCACTTAGAGAAATTACAAAAGATGGACGACGAGGAAAATTCAAGGCCACTGAGCGCACAAGAAATATTGATTGGTTGCAAATTAAATTTGTAGAGGAGTTATCATTTTACAACAACATTCAGTCTGTAAAAGGCTCAAGAGCAACAGAAGGTAGAGGGTTATAAAGTACGAGGCACAGTTTATGGGGTTAATGAGAAAACCTAAGTTTTGAATAGGTTAGGATTGGATTGATCTGGGAAGCATCCACTTGGGAGTCGGTTCCAAAAAGTATGGCTTATTTGGAAAAAGCGCATCATCTTAGGATCGGCTTTTCTTATCGATATATATTATCACGGTCAGGCACATATATACACGTGTCTTTTTCTTCTCGGCATGTGATGGTCTTCTGTTGCATGTCATCTTTCCCCCAGATTCAAGGAGAGGAATAGGCCTACTGAGCTGGTCCAAGGAATGATTGTAGCGTCAGATGGAATGTGGTTTGTCAAAAATGACGTTTTTCGATTCATGATCGCCCAAAGGTATTGGCGTAAGTAAAAGTAACAAACCCGACTGCAACTTGAACTCTGCACTCTTTTGCATCATCCTTTCCCAACTTTCGTAAACAACCGACATAGAAAATTCGCGCAAGGAGTAGGGTTAATTGATAATGTCTGTAAATCGCTTGAGCGAGAAAATGACAATCAGTATCCAATTTATACCATACATACTCTCACTCTCTCTCTCTTTGTCTCGCTCTCTCTCTCTCTCTCTCTCTCTCTATGTATCCATCCATATATATATATATATATATATATATATATATATATATATATATAAAAATATATTTTAAGGTATATTATATTATGGTTTAAAGTGCTCAATGTAAAATAAAAGAGGATATATATATATATATATATATATATATATATATATATATGAAGGTCTTTTCACAGTTGAAATGGCTAGATGTAACCCTAAGTTCTATGCCCTCACTTCCGGCTTCTTGC